AATTGAGGTTGAAAGGGTCCCTGCAGGTCTTAGCACCTGCTGAACTGCAAAGATGAGGAAAAGGACAACCCGTGGACGTCCACATCCCAGGACGCACATCACCGCTCCTGCTTGCACCAGACTTGCGGCTAGATCCTCCCCTTGGACTTACCTGCAGAGAAGGGCAGGAAGGCCTCTGGTCTCACAAACTGCCCGTTCTCATTCAGGAAGTGTTCGGGATAAAACTCATTTGGCTTCTTCCAGACTGTCTCATCCTTCAGCACGGAAGTCAAGTTGGTGATGATTGTCGTCCCCTGTACTCGTTCACAAGAGGAAACAACTTACATGAGAACCACAGAATTATCTTAGCATGATAGATCAGTGCTGGTCTCTCTTTGGTCAATTTCTCCCACCTACTACTGCCATTGTTAGGTGCTTCAGAATAAGGCACCAAGCTCTTCTTGATCTTTCTGAAAACAGAGGTGCAGCATTTGCACATTTCCAGTAACACATGCTGCCTGCCCTGTGCTCACACAGCATTGGAAATTCTGCATTCTTACAAAGGCTGCTCATGCAAATGCCAATTTTATGGTTACAGAATGTAAGCAGCCTCTGCTTCTCAGATCTCCATGGACTTGTTTTGTAGCTGGAAAGAAAAAGCTAACAGATTTCAAAGCCCGACCTTTGTATGGGACATGGAAAACCTCAAAGCTTATGTTTTAAATATCAGGGAGTTATTGTGTGGCTTAAAAAGCATCTCAGGCTTGCATTACAGCCAGCATTGCCAGGGGAGAATGCTCCTGAGATGCCTCTGCAGTTGGTTCCCGCATAAGCAGTGTAAACCAGAGCACAAGTGTGACCATCTGTGTGATCTTAGTATTTCCAAATTCCTAAGTCAGTGTTCTCCATGGCTGTGCTTTGGAGCAGAAGGGACAAAACTGCAGAGTTGTGTGCGGTCACTCCAGGCCTGGCCTCTTCCTGGGGCATGATGCTGCATTGCCTGTCTGGCCGCACCCACCTTGGGAATGAAGAAACCTTGAAGCTCTGTGTCTCGGTATGTCATGTGAGGTAGCCCCATAGGAACAATGTCCCCACAGCGTTGTACTTCGTGGATGACGGCATTGGTGTAAGGCATGTTCGCTTGGTCTGCCATGGTGGGTGGTCGGTTTCTTCCAATCACCTTATCAATCTCTTTGTGGACTTTATCTAAAAGCAGCACAGCTTAGGAATTAGAGCTTCCTTAGATAAACAGAAGGGGCTGGCAGAAGTAATAGGAAAGCTGGCAGCATGAGCTGAGCAGGCACTGGGTGAGAGCGGGACGAGCAATTATAGAATGAGCAGAAACTGATGGGAATATACTTTTTCAGTTGCTCAAAAAGATCTCTATAACAATTACTTTAACACAGTACCTTTAATAAAATTCATCTGACATTCTACCCTCCTCAGTGTGACTGAAAGTGTACTCTTGCATGCAGTGTTTAAGAATTAAAACAGCTTATTGTCTATTCCAAATACAGGAAGGATGGCACCATGGCCACTGAAAGTACCCCAGAAGCCTTCACTGCAGTCTTTTCATCAGGTTCCCCACCGGTCTCGCTAAGTTGTGCTAGAACTGCTGTGTTTGGGCAAGCATCTCTCCTTCTTTCTCCCAGACCAACAATTCCCAAGGCTGTTTCTTTTTGCAAAAAGCCCAAAATACGGAAAGATGTGCAGTGTCCTTGCAGTGAAATGAGTGTTCTGAGGAACATAGCACACTTCCACTTGTCCTCTCACTTACTCTGTATTTCTGGGTACAAAAGCATGAACAGGATTGCCCATCGGAGGGTGGTGGAGGTGCTCTCTAAACCAGCTGCAAGCAACTCTGATGTCACCAGGCTAAGGTTGCTTTTATTGAAACCATTCTCTTCAGCCTCCTTACCCTGCAGATAGCAAACAAGTGTGTGACAGGAGCAAAGACACTTTCTTGAGTGAGAAGACTTTCCTTTTGAGAAGGACTGAGAAGCAGTAGATCCATTTTTGCTGACTAGGAAGTTCATCGGCAGAGTAGAGAACAACACAAGCTGTGGTCTGTGTATGATTGATCTGCTTAAATCATGCCGTTAGCACTGTACTCGTATATCCTGAGATGGAAGTTATACCTTTATAGTGAACGCCTTGTGCTCTCAACTCAGCAGGACACCGACACTTACTGTGATATCCTCCCCGAGAAGAGATGGAACCCTGCTACACAGGCTGAACAGATCTGAAAACCCACACAGCAGAGAGGCGGCTGCACTGATATGGCAAATGCAAATCAGCAGTATTTTGAGAGGGTTATCTATGTATTATAGATTCTCACTGCTTTGCCCTGGTATTTTGTTTCAGTGGCAAAATAAAAGAAATGGATCAGGTTATCATTGCTGCCTATTAAGTCTGCAACACCAATTTCTGCAAAACTGGTCTCTCATCCAAATACTAGTTGATCTCAGATTTGCTAGCATGTGAGATCTAACAAGCTCTCTGCATGAGTTCATCTGCTTGTCATTTCTAATCCCTTTCACACTTTTTTTCCTAAAGACTAGCGTCTGCTAAGTTATTCTGTTTATTTTGGAGCTGTCTTACTACGGATAGCAATTAATGAGGTACCTCTGAGTCAACTTTGACTCAAACAAAAAATCTCTGGTAAGGGAGCAGTGAGACTGGCCTGACCAAAGTTAGCACCGGCAGAAGGATTTTTCAGTCTGACTTCTTTGGGGACCTTAGGTGAGCAGCAGAGAGATATGACAAGAGGGAATGTGGTCAGGCTCATACCCACCACTTAAATGCCTGCAAACTGATGCAGGCTCAAGAGAGAGCTGCCAGACACTGAGTGGAAAAAGGATGTGGTATTTGGGGATTACCCTCTGAGGATAATCAAGGAGGGCACAGCATGGAGAGCTGAACACCTCCTTTCTCAAGTATGACATGGAATGAAGAAGTAGGAAATTTGTAACAGTCTTTATAGAACTGTATAAGTGAAGCCAGCTTCTATTGACAAGTTTAAAGAAGTAGAGGAATTTCCTCAGGACTCTGAGATTCTGCTGATCTCTTCGTACCTTTGCTATTTCCTTTAAAAATGCATCAGTGAAGTCTCGAGTAAGCAGGGTTCCAGGTCTCCTTGTGCTTCTCTACGAGCTTTTCTGTGAAGTATTCCTTTTGGCATCGAAAGATCTTCTGTGGCAGTCCAGGAATGAGCAACAAAATGGGTGCCACATGAAGAAGCTGGCAGGCCAGAATCATACAGAAAGAGAAAAGGTATTATATGATACAAAAAGAAAAACAATGGAAACACAGTGCTTTCAAGTGGCAGAGGTCAGTCAGTGTCTTACAGAACTTAATACACTTCTGTATTACCTGAGGCATGAATCCAACTTCTTCGTATAGAGTGTTCTCCAACAAAGTTAACAGCTTCTTGAATGTCTCATCACCATACTCGAAACGCTCTCCATAGGTGATGGTGAAGATCACATTGCTGACTACATTATTTACAAGAAGATGTGGATCGAAAGGCCGACCTAAAAATGCAAATGGATATCAAGCAAAGAGGCAAAGCAACATCATGCTGTGGTACTGCAGCTTCTAGCAACAAGAATACACACATACCTTTTTGTTGCTTTCATGAAAAAATGCCCCCAAAGTGCTGAAAGTAGAAATACATCATAGTAGGAAGAGAAGATATTCTTATCTCCTACTATGGTTCAGCTGGTCATTGTTTAAAGAAGAAAGGTCCCAAACAAAAGCCAAGTTACAGGGTAGTTTTGACACATGATAGATAGCACTTCTTCTTGTGTCTTATGATAGTTTGATGTGGTGTAAAAGCTGTAAGATTCATTTTGCCATGTGTGATAATATTGATATCATGGAATCATAGAATGGTTTGCGTAGGAAATTACCTCAAAACCCACCAAGTTCCAATTCCTGCTGTTATCTGTGGTGCCACCCGTCAGCTCAGGCTGCTCAGGGTACCATCCAACTTGGCTTTGAGTGCTTCCATGGCCACAGCTTCTCTGGGCAGCCTGTTTCAGTGCCTCACTACTCTCTGGGTAAAGAATTTCCTCCTCTCCCCTCTTTCAGTTTAAAACCTTTCCCCATAGTCGTATCATTATCAAATCATGTTAAATCTCCTTCCTGATGGTAAGTTCCCCTCAAATACTGGAATGCAGCAATGAGGATTCCCTGCAGCCTTCCCCTCTGTGGGCTGAACAAACACAGCTCCCTCAGCCTGTCGTTGTAGGAGAGGAGCTACAGCCCTCTGAACATCCTCATGGCTTCCTCTGGACCAACTCCAACATCTCTGTCTTTCCTGTACTGGGAGCCCCAGCCCTGGATGCAGTACTCCACATGCGGCCACAGGAGGGCAGCGTAGAGGTAGACAACCTCCTTCACTGATGGATCCACCATGTTCCACCCTGTTAGAATTAACATCATACAGCTAATAGTTGTATCCAGCCCTGGAAATAATTATATTTTACCTCTGCTTATTTCTATTTCTTTCCTGTTTGAAATTGTTTAGCCTTACAATAGCCCCCATGTGTAAGGTAGAAGTGGCTTTACAGCACAACAGGTTCAGTAACCATTATTCTGATGGACTT